CCCCCCCCACACACACACACCCACACTGACCTGTTCTGCAAGAGATGCGCGAAAGAGCTGCACAGATACAGCACCACCATTGTGATGATTCCCACAGCCAGCGGCCACATGTAGGGGTCAGAGAGGAGGTCAAACTCGCGGGAGAACTGTCCGCCACACACCAGCACCATGACCAGCGCCACCAGGTGGGTCCACACGTTCAACAGCTCGTTGTGCAACTGCCGGTACAACAACAACAACAACAATAATAATAATGATAATGATAACAAAAATGAGAATCATAACAAGAATCACCCACATCATCCCCACTCCCTGGTCGCTCTTGCTGCTTCACAATAGAATCAAATTTCCACAGCTTTAATTACCCACTGAAATGTGTCCTGCATTCCGGCCCATTTCACGTACAACAATCCCTCCAAACAGATTTATGCACCCGCAACTAAACCTGACAAAAGAACACAAACGTGACAATCCCAGCGGCTGCTGATCTCGCTGGCAGGAAGAAGAATGAAACTAGCAGACAAAAGAACACAAAACACCCACCCTGTATTTCTTTATCTCTCACTTTCCCAGAATCCTCATCTCTAGCTAAGTTTAGAGAATTTAGTATAGAGAAGCATACTGATGCAAGAACAGTCATTTAGTGTAAGGTAAAAAGGAACATTTTGTGGTTCCATCTTTTGACCATTTTTTTTTTCAAACTGTCAAAACGTATACCAGTAACGAAAAAGCACCATGAGCAATTTAAGTAATATGAAGCCATGCAGACCAGGAAATTGTACTCTTCAGCATTATTCAGCTCTTCTGAGAACACAAAAATACCACAAAATCTGCAGTCATCTCAATCAGTGACTGCAGTTCATATAAGTGAAAGTCAAATATTTCATATTTTGCGATGAAAAAGAAGGAATTTGCCCAAGATTTGATTTTTTTTCTCTTTGCCACAGCTAGTTCAGGGAACTACTCAGTTTCCTAATGAGGACAACTGTACCTGAAAGGCACTCAGGAAGTAGGCGATCCAGGGCTGGTTGATAGGTCGGAATCCTGTGACGACATTTGGCTCGTGGAACAGCACAGGAACCCCCTCCTGGCCGGTGGTCGCCAGCGGCCACATGACAATCTGAGAGAGGAGCCCAAGCAGTTGCAGTCATTTGGCAGTTTCAAAATTTTAATTCTGATTCGTAAATTTCCGTTTTGTCACATTTCAAATCTTTCATAGGTTTACTGATAAAATTTCATCCAAAGCTATTGTTGAACAAATATACAATCCCATGCAGTGCCTGTTAGGACGTACATAGCACGCGACGCCGACACCAGGTCTCCCACGGTTCAACGTTCAGTGTAGGAGAGTTGCAACAACGGAGGTCAAAACACATGTCATGCCAACCATCAAACCTTTAAACACATGTCATAAACGACCCACAACATATTTTTGTTTATTGTATATTTATGTAATACAAGTCAAAAACAACCCAGGACGCACATGGTAGGCTACCTGGTAAATATTGAGCTACTGGTGAGCTTCCAGCCATTCACAGCTAGAAAAGAAGGGACAGAGTAATAAATCATGTGCTGTGCTTGAGGTAACACAGGATGACCAGACAAACTTCTATCAACCATCCCCCCCCC